AGAAATGGATGCCTAATGCTAAGAGAATCTCAAAACTTTTTGTTTCTCTCTTACCAAAGCATGACCCCATCTTGCTGCCTACTGGTGCCTTTTCTGACCTCTGTATACATGTAGTTCTAGATGACTCAACTGGAAATAATCTGGTCAGCTGTCAGAGGATTCCACGGCGCAGCTGAGCCACTAATAAAAAATATCCAGCAGCAAAACTAACCGTAATATTCTCTAGAAATTTAAAATGAGATTGGGTTTTCTATCTTCCCCTTTAATGCATCCTGGCTTATAAAGGAACTTAGGACCTATATGGGGTTAGTGAGGCAAATTTGGCCAGGATACCTCACTTCTGAGTCCCCAATTCCATCTACAAAATAAATACGAAATAGATTGTTCCACAACGCCTAATATGCAAAAAATGGTCAATGAATGTTCATTTTCTTCTGGTTTAAGTTAAAAACCATGGTGCTATTAGGAGGGAAGAGATGACTCCTTGAGCTGTATATTTCCTATCCTGCTGCTTGGCCTGTGGCATGTTGATATACAACTCACCAGGTAATGGGTGTGGGATTGTAGAAGTCTTATGATTGATGGCACAAAAACCTAATTAAGCCCAATTCAATTGTATTTGGAATAAAGAATCTCAGGTGATCAAATTGCCATTTTATCAAGGAAAGCACCTCAAAATGGAAGAGACCTCAGGACATGAGAGACTTTGCCAACCCACTTTGTTTTGCACTAACTAGAAAAGAGCATGTACATTTTTTTTTTTAACATAGGCTGTTCGGATTCAATTGTAGAGGTACGAAGCCATCAGAAATTACCATCAAGTCTTCTGCTTCACAGATGAAAAAAAAATGCCCCTAAAGTTTCTTTTAATAAAAACATTTTGAATACTTATTAGAAGATATTACTTAGACACATGATTATGTTTCTCAAGAAATCATGAGTAAATGAATGAATTCAGAGACCTGCCCAAGGTCACAAGTTAGTACTCAGAGGAACAAGAACCCTGATATTCTGACTTCCTGATAAATACTCCTGGGTAAGACCAAAATATTCCTGAAAACAGGTAGGAAAACTCTAGCAGGTACTTTAGACTGGCTCCTGAATGACTGACTGATGTCCATCCAGGGAACACAACTGCAGCACTCTAGTGTCAGTACATGAAGGATGTTCCGTTTTTCTACAGCATCTCACTCACTCTCTTCTTAGCAGTGAGGGTGTCCTTACCAATGCCTTATATGAAAGGGTTTTTACCTCCATTTAATCCCTTGGACAGCCCCCACTTCACAAGTCCTCTTTGTTTCAGAGGCAAGATAATCACAGATGCCTTAAAGCCAGAATTGTTATCATATCATTATCATACTAAATGCTATACAAGGAATTGGTTGAGTAAAGAATTTTTTTGCTTACTCTTGAGGAACAAGAATGAATAGAAAAATGTCATTACATAGAGGAACTCTAGCCCATGATGATCAGAGACTATTAGGGTCTAAAATCCTAGATTTCTAGGTACAGATACTACTATGTTTCTAAGTATATATACTACAATATTCATCATTTATGCCACTCACCTGGTTTGAAGCCCTTTCAGATACAATTTGACCTTGCCTAACTCCGGTTTCTTATCTGAACTATGAAATACAGAAAATTATGTGAATGGCTATCTTCTCAGTTCTTTCAAGGATGGAATATAAACTGGACCATCCTATATTCTTAGGAAAAAAGATGATCCATTACATGCCATAGATGTTATAGAGCATTAGGACAAAGTCATGGCTGAGAAACATACTACAGTAATCCAGTATACCTACAAGTTATGAACACATCACAATCGTTCTCAATAGCACATACTTCCAAAAAACCCTTCTCTGTTTATGAGTTTTTAACAATGAAAGTGTTTGCATGACCTCCAATATTTTGTCAGAGGGAAAAGTTAATTTGTATTCATATTATTAAAAAGGCATTATTTTTCTATTTGCAAAACACAACAGAAAGATCAGCAAATCTTTTGTACATATGCAAATTGCAACTCAAAAATAAACTACTGCCATATTTGTAACAAAGAATAGTAAGTGGATTTTGCAGGCAAGTTAGACGAAAATGCATTTCTCTGAAGTAATTGAGCAGTTATTTTAAACTTTCAGTTAGTCAACAAATTCTTGGAGGATATGACAAAGAAAAAAATACTGCATATTTTGCCAACAGATGGTTGGGGTTTTTTTTTTCCTTACATTAAGTTAAATGTCTTGGATAAAACAAAAGTCGATGATTTGTCTCATATTTCAATTTGATCACTGGTTTACAACTGGAAACTCAGCTTATAGTTGGCAAGATAGAGCAGAACTGGAAAAGGAAGTGCCATTTATAGAATGCCTGCTAGGAGCCAGGCACTTTGCACATATAATCTCAGCTAATCCTCATGAGGTAAGTGGTTTTATCATTTCCTTTTTACAGATTAAAAAAGTGAGACTCCAGTTCTCACAGTCACTGGCAGTAATTTCCATGATCCATGTGTTCAGGATTGTTCCAGGACTCAGTACACCTTCCTCCAGTAAGGTCTGAAAGTAGATTAGGGCATTTTAATTAGTTTTCAGATTTATATCCCCTTTCATTCAGCAAGCTCTGACCTTAAATTTGCCTTCACACCAAATCAAAAGAAAAAGAGGTCAGTACAATGAAAAAAATTAGACCCTGGAAATTTGACCTTCTTACCATGACTGATTCAGATGTTCAATATTCCCAGAGAGACGTTGAGCTATGTTTCACAATAAAACAGGGTCAAAAGGCAGAAGACCAAACCACCAATATCTTTAGAATCCAGGATTGGAGGAAAGAGATATTTAGAACACAGATGGTTTGATTACCTTCTTTTATTATCAGATTGTGATGAATACATCAGCTTGGCACAGAATCATTTCTATACTTTTAGTAGTTGAAAATTTTATTTTCTCCAATGGTCTTCAAGTGGGATTTCCAGGAATTAGAAACTGTGTATCTCGGCCAGCACAAACTTCTGGGGTTCACAAACACACACAGTTTAACGTCTAGAACATCCGTCAGCTCCACCTCTCACAGAACTGCTTTGGAACTTCCCTCTCCTTCACATGGAGTCTTCAGAAACTGCTGTTAGAAAAGAAAGGACAGTAACAAAAGTATTTTCTTTTGTCCAAAAGCACAATGCAGAGGCACTTTAAGAATAGGAAAAAGAATTTCTAAGCCTCTTTCAACAAAGCATTAATATTTATTAACTTGCACTTTACTGTAGAATGAATGTTTTATAATCAAAACTTGAGTAGCAACAAAATGGAAATTTCAACCACAAGTGACCTACTCTTCCAGTGATAAAGAGCTTGGGATGGGTGTAGCTGTCCACTGCCTCTGCATTTTCAAGGGTTCTTATTCACTCATGTAGACAAAGCAGTAACTGATTACTGCTCCATGTGATCACTAAAAGCAATAACTAAAAAGTTATGATCTTTATCAATAAGATGTAACTATAATGAAGCTATGAATTAACATATCAATGCTATGTTGAGAAATGGGGCATGTATTAGAAGCTTTTAAAAGCTTAGAATTATATATCCATTTTAAATTTAAATCAATTCCCAAATAATTCAGAAAAGAGGATTTTTTTTTTCAGATTTGAACAAAACATTTGTTTCAAGTTTGTTTATCCATTCATTCACTATTTATTAAGCACATTTTATTTTCCAGGAACATAGAAATGTGGGATTTTGAATCAAAATCAAAGGTCTAAAAAATAACTTACATGAGATCTTTACTATCAAAGACTGCCCTTACTAAATCATTTTGTAATTTAACAAACTACTCAATCTTACTACAGCTTTTCATGGTGAGTTATTGCACGCTGAAAAAGAACAAGAACATCTCAACTCAATAATTAATGTACACACTGCACAAAGGCAGAGAAATAAAAACCCAGTAGCGTTTATTTGTCTTGTCAATTTCCATGATTCAGTACACTGATTGCTGTCCTGAGACCATGTAGCAGTGAGCCTGTTAAAATGTTCCCTTTCCTAGATTTGAGTGAAGTTTCTATCCAAATATGTTAGTACTGGATTTCCAACACATCACCTTATGTTTCCATTGGATCTAAACAGTGTGGAAAAAGTACAGATTTTGGAATCAGGCAGATCCGAGTGTGAATTTCCAATTTATCTGTCAATTTTTCAGTTTCTTCATCTATAAAATGAACATAGCATGAAACTTATAGGATTGTTGCAAAGAATAAAGAGAATGTACATAAAGCAACTAGGTCACAATATATGTTGATTATCTTTTTATACCCCAAATCTGAGAGATCACACTGAAATTCTTCTATTTTAGGTACTGTAATTCACCATGAAAGTAAAAATCAAGAAAAGGTAGAATAAGCGAGAGGTGAGCATTTGGAGGCCGATCTATATTTGTCTCAAGAGGCAGTTATTTTATATTCAAGTTGTTTCATACTTAAATAAGGTATCTAATAAGAACAGTGTTTATTTTAAATAACAGGCCTTCAGATTGCTGAATGGGATTGATAGAGAAGATCATATTCTCTCCATCCTTAGCCCCTCTGCTTGCTCCAGAATTGTGACTTTGCTGAATGTGTATGTAGAAATATGTTGCAATGAACCCATTATATAGGACACGATTATAAAGTACCAATGAATTAATTAAATTATGGACAAGAAGAAAAACAAGATAACTAAAGATTATTTTGGGTTCATTGACAAATAAAAGATCAAAATAAAACAATCATCTGCTAGACAGCTTTTTTTAGTGCAATAAAGCACAAACTCATTTCTTTAAAGCTTTTAAGCACAGTCTTGCTTTGAATGGAACTTTTACCTTAAATCTTGCTTCTACCCGAAGCAATTCTGAGAATGCAGACTACACTTCCACTGTACCAAAGAATGGATGTTTTCTCTCTCTTTCCAGTTCTTCTTTTCATATCCTGTTTGCTTTTCTAACTTCTGCCTTTTCCTTTTGATTCCCTGCAGGTAGTCCGGCCATACCAAACCATGTCCAATCCCATGAGCAAGCTCACTGTTCTCAACAGCATGCATTCCCATTTCATCCTGGCTGACAATGGAACAACTGGAAAATACGGAGCCGAAGTGAAACTTCGGAGGCAACTGGAAAAGCATATTTCACTTCAGAAGATAAACACAAGTAAGTTGGTCACTGTCCCACTGTCATGCCTTGTAGAAAGTACACAAAAAGTAAAAAAAAAAAAAAAAAAAAAAAAAAAAATCATGCAGCAGTAATACATATACTTGAGCAAAAACATGGATCATGTTTTCTCCTTGGCCAGTGGTTCAAATGAGAGACAGTGGTCCAGAGGAGGGCAATGGAGGCAAAAGAACTGTGGTCCAGAGGAGGGCAATGGAGGCAAAAAAAACTGATGATGCAATGACTGGCCCAAGCCCATTTATTATGCAGAACATTTCAACCCCATGAGGGGTATGTCAATGCAGCTATGCTTTCCCTCCAAACTTTTTTTTTTTTTTACATCCTTTTCATAGAACTCCAAGAAGAAACAGTTACCCTGGAGATTTTTTTTTTTTTACTCTATTAAGCTTTTCTAGTGGCTAAAAACAAGAAAAAGGAAAGAAGACAGTATTTTGATCATTGCACAGATCTAGCTACGCAAAGGCATTTCAAGGGCACTGAACATCCCCTAAGCTAAAGCATCATGCAAAACCATCTCGATGAAATTTTAACTCATCTCATAATTCTATGTTCATATTGTCTCTAGATATATGTTTAGGTACATGTGTTTATTTATGTGCATCACATAATACATATCTACTGGTTACATTAATAACATTTCTTAAATGGCTGATGGGCTCTATGTTGTATTTTTTGTGTAAACATTTAAGTGTAAAAGAGTACCAACAACAATGCTCCTCAGATCACTAAGCAGCTTACGTTTAAATGTGATCAATCTACTGTCCATCCTCACAAAATAAAATTCAGTTTCTTTTCAAAGTACCACACCAGGCTTCATGACAAGTTCAAACTTGATGGTATGATGTGTCCCCCTCAAGGAAGCTTGGCTCTAATTGATTGAAATCCCAAAGCCTGCAATTCCAAATACTAAAAGATTCTCTTTGCATGCATTAGTTTTCAAAACTCCAGTGTAATGTGGCTCAATGTGCCCAAATCAGTTTTCTTTTCTCTGATATTTTTCCTGCATCTATTTCAAATGGGTCTCCCCCTTGGTACAGTGGCCTTCCTGCCACAGTTGGGATGGTAGACCCACCAGACCACAACTTCTCCTTCCTATACTCTCGTCTTTGGGTGTTTGGGGAATTACTGCTGCTTAGTAGCCAAGTTTTATACTTTCATTCTTTTCACAGTGAATTCTGAAGTACTGACTTTGGGCCTAGATCTGAAGTAAAAGTTGTATTAGAAAACTCCCTTCCTGAAATGTCTTTGGAAAGAAGAAACACAGTAATAGGTCAAGGTGAATGTTTTATGGATAAAAAGAATAGAAAAGACTAGAAAACTGATTCGGAGGCCAGCAGAGATCAAATGCAATGACACAATCTTATCAATGGGTGGCAGGTTTTGCTATCAATACTAAAACTGAATTTTGTTACAATATTTGATAAAATGGGCAATTAGTTGCAAACGTTATGCAATTAGTGTTATCTACTTAGGTTTTTACAGACTGAATCTTTTCTTTTACCATCAGTTAGGAATGAGAACTAAAAGGCACAGAAGCAGGACAAAAAAAAAAAAGAATAAAGGGTCTAGTTAGGAACTCAGTGATGAGAAAAATCTGTCTATAGACAGGCAAACCACTTTTATTATGCTAGGGCTTGCAGGTGCCTGGGCCAGCTAGTCAGTAGTGTGGGAGCAGAGCTGGGTGTGTGGTTATATAACTTAAGCTTCCATCAAAGAGATGTAAGCTGGAGTTAAAACCCAGTCAGGGCTCTGTTTATCAAGCCTTGTACCTTACAGAGTTCCCAGAGGAAAGGTGCCCTTTTCTAATTGGTCATCCCAGGAAGGATACCTTTGTGATGTACTTAATGTACCTCAAGGTATGCCTTTCTCCAAAGCTTGCAGAAGTGCTGAATGTGTGAGTAGTCTGCAGAGGAGATCCAGGGAGGCTCATGGACAGTGACCTGGCCTTAGTGAAGAGCAGAGCTCAGCAGCCTGGAATGTGAAGAGCAGGTCAGAGCAGATGGTTGGGACATCAAGAATGTTGGAAGACATGGCACCAGATGCTAGTCTGTGGGTAGGCAGATCATCATGGACACGTCACATCCTATTTGTGTAGACACTAGGCCCTTGCTAACCCATGGAGACAGGTAGCAGCATATGGGCACATGACAAGTGAGGACCAATCCGGGGTCTAAGGTGTAAAGTAGGGGCAAGGCTCAAACCAGGGCACTTTGGTGACTGTTTTTGAGGCATCAGTGAAACCCATAGGCTACCATTCAGTATTGAAATTAAATAGAGGAAGGTTCCAGAAATCAACAGAGATTGAAGTCATAGGGAAGTTAAGCAGTACAGGGTAAGGAATTTGCCCATGAGCTGTAGTAAATGATGTGTGATTCAGCTCCTACCCCAGTTCTATCCCTGAACTTAAGGGTGGCAAGCAAACTACTCATCCCAGTTTGCCTGGAACTGTGGCAGGTTTAGCACAGAAAGTCCCATGTCCCTGAGCACCCTTGGTCTTGGAAAAACTGAGAGATGGATTCAAAAGATACTCATTGTATCTGTTTCCCTTATTACTGTACTTAGTCCGCAAGGCAGGGAGGGGCACCAAGCTCCTCACAGTGTAAAGGTGATCCAGACTCACTGACATAGAGGTCTCCAGCTATCAGCAAAGAGCCCACAGAGAACATAGAAACCTCCAGAACAGAACTGATGGGCAAAAAGTGAACCTGGTCATAACACAAAGCAGCCTAAGAATACAAACCCTTGATGCAATCCTCCTCAGCCAATATTTAGAACAGTACTTTTACTTTCTAAATCTAGACTTTTTTTTCTTTATACCATAATTAGCAATAATGTGGTTCTTTCAAAAATTAAATTTTATTCTGTGAGTTTATTCTAAAAATTCCATTTACATAGTGACACGTAGAGAAATTATTAAATTTTAGAGAAACAGCAGTCCTATGCAGAATCTTGTTAAGATATATTTCCTTCCATTTTTTTTCCTTTTAAAATAAATTCTGAAAAATAAACAAAAAAATGAATATCCCATTTACATTTTCATTTCTTGCTTTCAAAGTTTAGGAAATCTAAAGTACAACTGTGAAACTCAATTTCCTGCAAATTAGAGACATGATTATATACTCTACCTCCTCACCCTTAGGACAGCCCCAGGACATCTGCACACATGTGACACTTTCTTCAATAAAGTGCCAGACCTGATCACTAGTGGTGAGCTGCATGTGGCAGTAACCTACCCATAATCCTCTTTTCTTACATAGATGACATAATCCTCTGGAGGGTATTTCCCTTAAATATAAAGTGAATCCCTCTCAGGACACCCATAAGCTCTTTCTCACCAACACTCCAATTATTAATAATAACATATTACAAGTGCCAAATGTTTGCCATTTTTCTCAGCACTCTGGCCTTCATTACCTCATTCTCTCCCCTTCTCCCCACCCATTCCTACTGTTGACAGTCAATAGTGAGCATTGTAAGGGATTGCTGATGGGCTTTGTTTATAAAAGAGAAACCTTTTAGACATGAACAGCTACCTGCTTTAGAACACTATCTGCAATTTTTAATCTTCAAATTTAATATGCAAGGAACAAGGCCAATCTTCTCTTCAATAAATAAATATTTACTGAGCTCATGTACCAGTAATAGTTAAGGTCTGGAAAGCAACAGCAACAATTGTTTAATTCATTGATCTTAAGTCAAAGATAAACAGAAATAAATAAGAAAATATGTGATGTCTGATAGTAAAAAGTGCTATTAAGAAAAAATCAAGATCTTGAGATATATGTCTGCATGCATGCTTATGTGTTTCAGAGAATCATTTACATCAGGTGATAGGAAGGGCCTCTATGAGGAGGTCACATTGAAGCAGAGGCCTGACAGACATATTGGTGGGGGGTGGCAGAGACTGGAAAGAGCATTCCATGGAGAATTAAAGCAGGGACAGAATTTCAAGAGTTCAATGAAAAGCAGGAAATGCTTGGTAAAAACTTGGATTTTGTTATAATGAGTTTGGATCTGGCAATTTATAGTATCTCCCTTAAAAAAAGTCACTGAAATTCTAATCTAGAGGTTAAAATGTGGTCAGGGATAAGATTAAAAGCAAGGAGATGCTCTTAGCAGGCTACTGAAGTGTTGCAGGGGAAAGAGGACAGTGGTTTGAATAAGGATGGCAGAAGAAGAGGTAATAAAACATGGTAGAATTCAAGATAGAAAATATATATAGGCTACTCCAGAAAGCAGCATCCAAGTACCTGATGAAGCTTTAAGACCCCATCATACATTTTGTAAACATTATTAAATTCCAAACATGCCAAAACTAGAGCACATTATCATGGCCAGGGTATTACTATGACTATTAGTAATATATATTACATGGCAGGCACAGTACTGCTAGTTGACATATAACCTAAAACTATCACCTAGCCTCTGTATTCATCAACCTATGCCCAGGTTTCTTTCTTGGATATGTAAACCCACCACTTCTCTCCTCTATGGAAATTAATGAAACCCAGACAGCATATCATTTCATCCATACACATTTCAGTACCAAAGTATTTTTTTCAACTTGTGTTGGCCACACATAGGCTCAATTTTACAAGTATCTCCTTAACTCAGTAGCAATGTAACAGCAAATGTTGATCCAAGCATTCTTTAATAGATCTTTTTAAAAATAAGACACATTTCAGGAGCATCAAAACACAGGAGGGGGATTTAATTCTGGTTTTCTATGACACAGTAGGGTAACTATTTGTTCAAACAATCGGATGTATTTTAAGATGACTAGAAGAATCTAAGCTTCCCAACACACACACACACACACACACACACACACACACACACACACAAACGGTTAGTGTTTGAAGAAGTGAGATGACTCCTCTGAATTGATTACTACACATTGTATACATGCATTGAATTAACAATAATGTGCTCAAAAAAATGTATGAATATTGACTCAAAAATATGTTAAAGTTTATCTT